AGTAGTATCCCATCTCACGTTCTGGCCTAGTAACCCTTTCCCTACACTATCATCAACTATAAAAAACTATTTAAGCTGTCATTTTACTCTACAGAGACTTGGCCAGTTTGCCCATTCAGGAACAAATGACAGTTGAATGGGCTGAAATAATACAACGCACATTGACACGCAACAAAACATGCCTGCTTTATGCATTGACTTGTGCAAGTCAATGCATAGAAATGAACACGGCTGAATTGGCCCTTTAACCATATCCTGTAGTGTGCCCATAGTCTCTGACCATCTCCTGTAGCAAGCCTGTAGTCTCTGACCATTGCCTTTAGTCTTAGACCCTTTCCCGTAGTCTGACTATCTCCTGCAGCACCCCTGTAGTCTCTGACTATCTCCTGCAGCACCCCTGTAGTCTCTGACCATCTCCTGTAGCGTATCTGTAGCCTCTGACTATCTACTGTAGCACCCCTGTAGTCTCTGTCCATCTCCTGTAGCATGTTTTCAATCTCTGACCATATCCTGTAGTGTGCCCATAGTCTCTGACCATCTCCTGTAGCAAGCCTGTAGTCTCTGACCATTGCCTTTAGTCTTAGACCCTTTCCCGTAGTCTGACTATCTCCTGCAGCACCCCTGTAGTCTCTGACTATCTCCTGCAGCACCCCTGTAGTCTCTGACCATCTCCTGTAGCGTATCTGTAGCCTCTGACTATCTACTGTAGCACCCCTGTAGTCTCTGTCCATCTCCTGTAGCATGTCATCAGTCTCTGACCATCTCCTATAGCATGTCTGTAGTCTCCGACCATCTCCTGTAGCATGCCTGTAGTGTCTGATCATCTCCTGTAGCACCCCTGTAGTCTCTGGCCATCTCCTGTATAATGCCTGTAGTGTCTGATGATCATCTCCTGTAGCACCCCTGTAGTCTCTGGCCATCTCCTGTATAATGCCTGTAGTGTCTGATGATCATCTCCTGTAGCATGTCTGTAGTCTCTGACCATCTCCTGTAGCATGTTTTCAATCTCTGACCATCTCCTGTAGCGTGCCCATAGTCCCTGACCATCTCCTGTAGCAAGCATGTAGTCTCTGACCATTGCCTGTAGTCTCTGACCATCTCCTGTAGCATGCCTGTAGTCTCTGACCACCTCCTGTAATCTTTTTGGATATCTTAACAAGGAGGCTTTTAAATAAATAACTTGCATAAATACGTTACATGCGCCTATAATCTTATGGGAACATTTTTGTTGCAATAGTCTGGTGACAGAGTCTCTTTAAGGCTGCAATCATTACTGGACACTACGCAGTCACATGCAGATGACCTTGCTGACCACACCAAATATTTTATGTATGTGTCAATATATTAAAATGTACGTCCAGCCAAAACTATTTATTTTTTGAATTATATATTTTTCGAATTGAAAAGATGCTAAAACAGTAACATAATAAAAAAGCTTTTCCCCTAATGAACCGACCAACAGATAAAATAAAAGATCAGATCAAACCATCAGTGAGCCCGTGTACATCATTGAACTCAATAACCTATGAAGCTGACTCTTTGTTATATAACTAAAACCATTTCAAATGCTAACATATGAATTCATTAACCTACTTTATGTAATCCATAAACCGAAGACAGACCTAAATAATTCATATTCTAAGGCATCGGTTACAGTGATCTGGACTGCAGCTGAGCAGCAGACGATAACCATGAAATATGACCATCAAAAGCAACTTTCAGGTCTCTGTCCAGGTGGACTATTGTTTAACGCATTTTGAGCAAGGTCAGGGGTGGGCAAACTCTGGCCCTCTAGCTGTGGTGACACTAGAAAACCCATCATGCATCTGCCTGCATCTTACATCTGTCATCCCATTATCATGCAATGCCAGTAGTCTGACTATCTCCTGCAGCACCCCTGTAGTCTCTGACTATCTCCTGCAGCACCCCCGTAGTCTCTGACCATCTCCTGTAGCGTATCTGTAGCCTCTGACTATCTACTGTAGCACCCCTGTAGTCTCTGTCCATCTCCTGTAGCATGTCATCAGTCTCTGACCATCTCCTATAGCATGTCTGTAGTCTCCGACCATCTCCTGTAGCATGCCTGTAGTGTCTGATCATCTCCTGTAGCACCCCTGTAGTCTCTGGCCATCTCCTGTATAATGCCTGTAGTGTCTGATGATCATCTCCTGTAGCACCCCTGTAGTCTCTGGCCATCTCCTGTATAATGCCTGTAGTGTCTGATGATCATCTCCTGTAGCATGTCTGTAGTCTCTGACCATCTCCTGTAGCATGTTTTCAATCTCTGACCATCTCCTGTAGCGTGCCCATAGTCCCTGACCATCTCCTGTAGCAAGCATGTAGTCTCTGACCATTGCCTGTAGTCTCTGACCATCTCCTGTAGCATGCCTGTAGTCTCTGACCACCTCCTGTAATCTTTTTGGATATCTTAACAAGGAGGCTTTTAAATAAATAACTTGCATAAATACGTTACATGCGCCTATAATCTTATGGGAACATTTTTGTTGCAATAGTCTGGTGACAGAGTCTCTTTAAGGCTGCAATCATTACTGGACACTACGCAGTCACATGCAGATGACCTTGCTGACCACACCAAATATTTTATGTATGTGTCAATATATTAAAATGTACGTCCAGCCAAAACTATTTATTTTTTGAATTATATATTTTTCGAATTGAAAAGATGCTAAAACAGTAACATAATAAAAAAGCTTTTCCCCTAATGAACCGACCAACAGATAAAATAAAAGATCAGATCAAACCATCAGTGAGCCCGTGTACATCATTGAACTCAATAACCTATGAAGCTGACTCTTTGTTATATAACTAAAACCATTTCAAATGCTAACATATGAATTCATTAACCTACTTTATGTAATCCATAAACCGAAGACAGACCTAAATAATTCATATTCTAAGGCATCGGTTACAGTGATCTGGACTGCAGCTGAGCAGCAGACGATAACCATGAAATATGACCATCAAAAGCAACTTTCAGGTCTCTGTCCAGGTGGACTATTGTTTAACGCATTTTGAGCAAGGTCAGGGGTGGGCAAACTCTGGCCCTCTAGCTGTGGTGACACTAGAAAACCCATCATGCATCTGCCTGCATCTTACATCTGTCATCCCATTATCATGCAATGCCTAATAGGATTTGCACCACAGCTGGAGGGCCAAAGTTTGCCTACCCCTGATAAGTGGTGTCACAAGGGGGATGCGGCCTGCACCCAGGTGACACCATTGGAGGGGTGACACCAAAATGACTGGCAGTCATTTTGGTGTCACCCCCCTCTGAAAAGTCAGGCACTCGGTCAAGGACCGAGAGCCCGACAGTTGCGAGAGAGGAGGGGACCCAGCGGCATATCTAATCCCACCGGGTGACGTCCCTTCCTATCTCTGCCGGCATCCATCACCAAGATTACCACCGGCAAGTAACAGCAGTACCGCGCGATGACGTCACAAGTGTACACGATGACGTCACTGCGGGGTGTCACCCGGTATCCGCACCGGCTGTCACCCCGCCTCGGGACGCCTGATGTCCTCTTCTTTGTACATTACAAGTTTTTTGCCTGGGACTGGCTGATAGGTCTAAGTACTGAGGGGTCACATGCTCCCATATTCCTGGTAGCTCTGGGTATTTTGTAGCAGCTCCAATGGTGAAAGGAGCAGCAGATATGAAAAGAAACAAACCTATAAATATATAAATCAAGCATAACGCTTTTGAAGCGGCAAGCAGAGGTCATCATGCAGGGGAAGCAGAGGTGTGCAAACCTTGACCCTCCAGCTGTTGTGAAACTACAATTCCCATGAGGCGTTGCAAGATTCTCACAGGCACAGGCATGACTCTCAGAGACAGATGCATAATGGAATGTGTAGTTTTACCACAGCTGGGTGGCCAGAGTCTGCCCACCCTTGCCTTGAAGGTTCAAAGCTTCGGATTGAGATATACCTTGTATGTTTCCTCTACACTAGGGTTGCCACCTGTCCGGGGTTCACTCGGGCAGTCCGGGTTTTGAATGCTGTGTCCGGGTTTCATGGCAGCCATTTGAGAACTATCGGGTTGATTGTAGAAAGAGCAATGAAGAAACTCTATGGAAAATACAGTATACAGGGTCACATATTGGTATATGTCTGTAAATGGCTGCGCTAAATATCAGGCGACTTGAAATTGAGGTGTATTTCAACATATGTTTTTAATTGTTTTTGGGAGACAAATTTAACTTGAATTCCTAAAATAAAATATACTTTTTTTTACGAGCTTATGCAATGGTGGTATGCCTCTTTAAACCCCACAATCATTTGGTGTGAATTCTTATTATAATTAGGGGGTGAGGTACCTATCAGATTGGACTAATCTGAGGCTCATTATGTGTTGAATTATTAAATTTTTTTAAACTTTTTTTTTTTTACCTAATCGCTATCACATAGGGCGGCTTACATGCCCCCTATGTGATAGGATACTAGTAATGACAGGTACTCTTTTAGGTGACATTAGGGGTCTATCAGCCTGTGTTGCTTCATACAGTGTAAAGGGCCAGTTGATAATGCGCTTGCGAAAGAAGCGTGCAGCTCATTTAAGTTTATGGGGATGCAAGTGCTGTGCGACCTCACCGCTGCTTCCCCCAGCTTCGAGACCATCAACAACCAGCTCTTTATGCTGTACGGAGCAACACGCACCCCAAATTAGGTGAAATGGCCCTTTATTTGTGTCCCCGGGCTGGAAGTGTCTGTGTGTTCGGTGTTCTGATTTTTTTTCTTGTGCTGCCGCTTTACATCTCCCATCCACACACATTTCCTCTAGAATTCCAGTCATTTTCATCTTTGGCTTAGGGTCCTTCAATCCTCGTCGCTGTTTGATTGCACCCAGCTTATTTCCTCTCTCAAGCTCTGCGCTCTGGATCCTGTTCTGTGTCCTGGCAGCATCACAATCTCTCTCTCTCTCTCTTGCTCAATCTTCTCTTTCATGTCTCCTACCTCCCGTCTTCTACTCAACCCGCTTACTTATTTTATGTCTTGCAGGCTAAAAAATAAGCAGAGGGTTTGCAGAGGGAAGAGAACAGGCGACAAAAAGAAGATGGAAAAATCCATGGAACACAGGTACGTCAATCAGGAGGAGAATGGCGGAATGGATGAAAAGTGTCTGCATGTGAAACCGCAGATATCTCTTAAAGAGGGCTTCCACTTTCAGCTGGAAATAGGGACACCAGTTAACGCGCAGGCCGGTGTCCATTGGAAGGAACTGCCGCTGATTGTCTTTTTGCAGAGTGTTAATAGAAAAGATCTCTGAGGCTGTTGAAGCTCTCTGACACGCTTGGCATTTTTGGGGGGCAAACGCAGGTGCAGCTCAGAATTCAACTGGAACTGATGGGTTTTATGGGGGGAGCTTCCATTCAACTGGAACTGATGGGTTTTATGGGTTTCACATGCAGCGCAGCAATGAGCACTTCAGCATCCTCCGTTATAGCTCTCATTATTAGGCTCACAATTTAACTGTTTTTCAATCCTCATATTGATTATTAAATAATACAATCATTATTATTATTATTTTTTATTATTATTGGGACTGATGTGAATGTGCAGTAAAAGCGCAGTGTAAATTGTGGGCGCTATATAAATACCAATATTATATACAGTATACTCTCCAAAGTAGGTATAGAGGCACACACGAGCAGCAGGGATAAGTCAAAGCACTAGAATTTTATTATCAACATTTCAATGGTGCTCAGTCCGGCTTTTTTCAAGACCCTTGACACCAGTGCTGCTATACTATTGGTAGCCAAACCTCATCCCTTTAGCTGTTGTGGAACTACAAGTCCCATGAGGCACTGCAAGACTGACTAACAGACACAGGCAGGACTCCCAGAAGCAGTGGTGTAATGGTATTTATAGTTTCACCACAGCTGGAGGGCCGGAGTATGCCCACCCCGGCTGAGAGCTGATCATGTGACTTTGACAGGTCACATGATCACGTGACTTTGACAGGTCACATGAGCAGGTTCTCTTCAAGGCTTTAGTAATGTAATGGTCATGCTGCGGCTTTATGGCTCAACCCTAAACTTTAATCTTAAGTGGAAGCAACTACAGTACACAACAAAGGTGGACGATACCATGACCAATAAAATATTTTCAGGCAGTTGTTGTTATGGCCGCATGCAAATGGCGTTTTAAAATTTTTATTTCATTGGAGTTTTCTTTCGGGGATTTAAATAATGAAGCGCAGAATCCTATTTGGGGTGGACATGGAAGAACGTAAACGCAGGAGGCACGGTAGAAGTGTACGTCTTGGTATTTGGAACAAGGTTATATCCCTTGACACATTCAACTAGAACACAGTCCAAAATTAAACGCTGCCAGCTGCTGTGTGAATGTATTCCAGTATTAACATGTTGCATCCCAAACAATTATGACAAGCGCGTGGATTATGGTGCAGATTATGGAAATGGATAGTAGAAGGATAGCTGTGCCAGGGGAGAGAAGAGAGACAGCCAGGAGGGAGAGCGAGGAGAGAAAGCCAGGAGGGAGAGTGAAGAGAGACAGCCAAGAGAGAGAGTGAGGAAAGACAGCCAGGACAGAGAATAAGGAGAGACGGCCAGAAGAGCGTTCCCCCTCAAGACTTATCTGAGCCCATGAGCCATTGCAAGACTGTGGCAGCAGCCACAGGCATGACTCCCAAAAGCAGAGGCATGATATGATTTGTAGCTGAAGTTGCCTACCCCTGATCTAAAGAATAGATATATCACTCCGGATAGGTCTATTTATTCCTATGGCGAGGAAAGGTGATATCTCGCCCTGTCCATTATGAACAAGGGCAGAGTGATACATATCTCTGCATGCTACAGAAACACCGGTGTTGATTTCCAGATAAGCGTATAGCAGAGAGGAAGCAGAGCCGGAGGAGATGCAGTGATAGCTACACACCTCAATCAGAAAGGTTAAACTGGGAAGATTAATATCCTGATTAAGCCGTTACGATTGTGGGTGTATGATCCCTGGCACTGGGGAGCGCTCCCTTCTGCCCATCTTATAGGAAACACGTGGAGGGGGTGAGAGGAGAGAAACTGTAATTTCTATCAATGTTCTTATCTCTAATCCGGAGCCAGGGATGGGCGAGAGAGGCATAGTCACAAGGACAGTGATATAAGAAGAGACAATACATGGATATGAGGGCGAGGCTCTGACAAACCAGAGAACAGACTGAGAGACAGACGAGGGGCGCAAGGGGAAAGCATCTATGTAACCAGACTGCATGAGATATAGAAAATTATCAGGGGAATCTTTGATTTTAAAGATGAACTCCAGGCAAACATTAGAAATATAGAAAATGAACCTTTCAAAGAATTTGTATTCCCGTCCAATCCGAGATGTGCACAGTCCCACAACACAGCACAGCCAGGTGGATGACATCGGAATTCAGTAGTGTCCTCTCTTTACCCCCAGCTAGCTGACTGGTCAGTAAAGGAGTAGCAAAAGACTGATAAGGGAATCCCTCTGCTCATTCATTTCTCACTCATTTGCAGGCCATTCATAACTAGTCCTGTCCTCACTCCGCCTCCAAAGTCTGAGAACTGCCGTATAGAGCCTTGGTTCTCAACTGGTGGGTTGTAACCTAAAAGTGGGTCACGACCCCGTGTTCAGTGGGTCGCCGCATTCCACTTTTCTAGGTGAGAGGCTCCTCTGCCTCCCCCTAGTGCAGCACTGTCATTTCTCGCACTGAGCAGCCATTCAAAATATGCTGCCCAGTGCCAAGTGTCAGCTTTAGGTGGGATGGGATGGGGCTATGGCTGCAAGGGAGCTCCATCCATACCTGCATTTCTTACAGCTCCCTCACATGTCCAATAGAGGTGCCTGGACCGGAGTGACATCACATTCTGGCTCCCAGCTCCTCTAGAGGGCACCATGGCACCCAAGGGAGCTGTACAAGCAATGCTCGTATGCCCGCACTGGAACGCGTGGTACCCTAATTCCGTATATCCATTGCCGTGCGACTTGGGTTGCGACTTAATGACCAACGACAAATGTGGGTCCTGAGGTTACACAGGTTGAGAACCACTGGTATAGAGGATTGTAAGAGGCTGATACCAAGACAAATTCAGGTACTTACACTAGTTGCATTTGAAAAATAAGTTTAAAGCAAATCTCCAGGATTTGCCAAAATGAACCCTTGCAGTAGGGCTACCCCCGCACTGCAAGGGGTGTCTGTTAGTTTTGGTCTAGGGAATGGGATAAAGAAGATACACTCACACAATCCTCGATCCTGCAGCGGTGGTATGTCCTTCTGCGTCCTCATGTCTAATGCAAGTGAATGGGCCTTGCATACATGTGATGACTAGGCATGTAACCCCCCAAAAAAACAATTCATTTCGGATTGATTCAGATTTTTATTTCTTTTGTATTTTTGATCCGAAATTTGATTTGGTACCTTACTCTGATTTCTGAACCATCCGAAGTTTCATTTCAAAAATATCCGAATTTTCACGTGACCTTGCCTGTAATGCAACCCCCAACAGCCCCAAAAAAATCTGATTGGCCAGAGAACAGTCCCACGTTCGATTTAGTCTAGTTTTGAATGAAATTCGGACGGATCCGAATTGTGTTAAACGGACGTTTGGACGCGTTCAAATTAGGAAATTCGGATGTACCCGCATGTTCACATTTAAAGAAATTCCTACGAAAATCCATTAGAAACTAAACAAAAATGTACATGTCTAGTAATGACATCAGCAGGGATTAGACCTCCGGAGCCCAGGGGAGAAGAGGCTGCAGGGAGCGGTCTAGGAAGCCAGGCAGGATCGAGGATCTGATGAGTATTTATATGCGCCCCTAGACCACAATGAGCAGTTAACCCTTGCAGTGCAGGAGTGGCTCCACTGCATGGGTTAACTTTTGAAAATCCTGTTTAATGAGTTATTAATACAGAGCTGCATTCATTTGTATCTTTTGTATCTGCCTGGAGTTCACCTTTAAATATTTAAAGATAGATATGTGAATGACTTCTTCTTATTTAATTTAATTGCTGGCTCTGTAAAACAGTTAATAAACTTTTTACATGGGAGCTTGTTACATATAAATGTTGTGCTTCGTGATCAATAGCACAGCACAGTGATTGGGTTATACATCTTGTATTGTATTAATACAACAGAGCTTTGTTGGCAGGAAAGTATAATGTATTTCCACTGAGCATATACTCATTCATAATACACTATATAGTAGTAATAAACATCATTTTTGTGACTTTCACGTGCTTGATGTTCCATATTTTGGTATTAAATGTATTAGGGATGCACCAATACTGATATCAGTATTGGTATTGGTGCCGATACTGAGTATTTGGGTGAGTACTCGTACCCGCTCAAAAGCTCCGGTACCCCCGTTCCCGGAACTTCTGGTCAGAGGGAGATTTCCTCTGACTGGCACTGCCGCAACGGAACATGGAGCCAGCTTCCCGGGCAATCAGGATGCCAGGAGGAAGGTAATGACTCGCCGCCCGGCTTCCGACTGGCCGAGTAACGGCCAATCAGCATTGAGCAGTTTCCTATGCAATCAAGAAGCTGGTTAATGGCATGCTGCCTGGCTTCCTGATTGCTCGGGAAGCCAGCTCCAAGTTAGCGGGAGTACCAGTATCGGTACTCGGTATCGGCAAGTACCGACATATAACATACAGATCCAACTACATTGGCCTACACACATATAGCACAGCAATGGAGTAATAAAATGAACTAGGATCACACTAATCCAGCACGTTATTAATCTCACGTGCCCCACTCAAACGCACATATTCAATACGCCTAGGTGTGAACCCAGCCTAAGGGGAGGGAATAATAATGTAAACAGTATTATGTGATTGCTGTGATTGGTTATAACAGCGATCACATGCTAAAGATCCACTTAGTTCGACTTGGTAGAGACTAGTGGGCAAAACAGCCATCTGAGGGCTTTTCTGCTAGGTGGAGCTGAGGAGCTCCATCTAGTTGCAGAAAAACCTGTATTACATTACACATATTCCCCAAGAAAATAAAAGATATCTAAGAACATTAGTTTTTGGGTCTATTCGCACAAAATAAACATTCAGGGTCATTCGTTTGGCCGGATGACTGTGCAAATTGGATATTAATAGCCCACCTAAACTATTTTAATGACAAACGAGGGAAGTATTTTTTTTTTCCTCTAGCCTCCTACATTGCAGTATATGACTTGCTCATATACTGGTTCACTTTAAGGATACCAAAACATGGCAGTACATAAGGGAATCAATAGCTCCGTCGGCTAACGAAGGGAAGGGGGGGGGAGTCCGGTGACGTCAATGTCCGTGACGTCACCGGACTCCCCCCCTTCCCTTCGTTAGGAGCCACTTGGGGAAGGGGGAGGAGTCCGGTGACGTCGATGTCCGTGATGTCACCGGATCTCCGACGGAACTCCCGGAAGCCGGCGGAGAGGTGAGTACCGATCAAAAGAATTTTAATCGATCAAAAGAATTTTAATCGATCAAAAAAATTAACGATTAATTGAGGAATTAATCATTCATTTCCGCAGCCCTAATATCTATCTATCTATCTATCTATCTATCTATCTATCTATCTATCTATCTATCTATCGGTACTCCTATTTGATACTGAAAAACCGGAATCGGTGTAGCCCTAATTCATATACTTTTTATTATTAGGATTTATATAATACCTACAATTTATGCAATATGTTACATTAGTCCCTGGCCTCAAGGAGCTTACAATCTAAAGTCCCTAGCACACATAGTAAGGTGGATTTAGGGTCGGTTCACACCACAAACAGTGCGTTCCAGAGCGGTCATGCTCTTTGGTTTAACATCAGCATTGTAAAAGGGATACACACTAGAGTTGTTTTTGATCATGCAATCAAAGCTAACTTGAAAAAATCCCTTTTATGTAGTGAGTGCTGACTTCATTCTGCCCATCACTTTCTACAAATTCCTATATTCCTAGTTTGCTTTGCATCTCTTTCCCTGCTGCTTGATGTGATGCAATCTCCATTTCTCAAGACTGCATATCCCATCATGCATTGCTTCCAGCAAGCAATGATGATGTTACATCGTGGAAAGCTCAGATGCTGAGTGGTGACATATGGAAGTGCATATTCTCAGGGCTGAGTGAACTTGTGTCAGTGCATTGAGGAAGTAGATCCTATGGGAATCTTCAGTATGTAAGTTTACAAACTTCTAGATGGATATGGTTATTAGGAGTGGGATAGGACTTATAGAAGTTCAATATAGAAATACAGGTTTTTTTTAAGTTTTTGACCTTTTTTGTGCACTCTGCAGGGACAACAACAGCTGAAGGGTGCGCAGTGAAAGTGTAGTTATCTTTTACTGCATACTCCCAAAATATTATTATTATTATACAGGATTTATATAGCGCCAACAGTTTGCGCAGCGCTTTACAATATAAGGAAGACATTACAATCACAATACAAATCAAGACAAGATGGTAAGGAGGGCTCTGCCCCTGAGGGCTTACAATCTAAAAGGGAATAATTTCCTTAAAAAGGGGAGCTTGTCCAAGCTAATAAACAATTATTATATTAACGCCAAGATCCAACATAGCATGGAACAATCATCTGTCAGGTTTGAAACATCAGCTGAAGAAGAGATCCAGGCTCCATTGGGTATTGGCTTGAAGATGGCTATGAACATCAATAAGGATTTCTTATTCTTAAGTGCCAATTCTTAAGTGCACTAACACAAAGCAACCAATCAGAATCCATCTTGTACTGATTTGGCCACAGCTGAGTGAATTTTGATTGATTTCTCTGAGTTACAGCATTTAAGAATTAGCACTTAAGAATAAAAGCTCTCTATTGAATAAAGCCGTAGATGACAGTCTGATGTTTGTAGACCATGAAATGTGTTTTCACTGGACTAGCAGCACATATCAAGGCATGCATGTGTTAATGTTTTTCGGTAAGCAGGCACCCATGCATTCTGTTCTTTGGGGGGTACAATAGTTTGTTAGTTCAACATACCCAAGTCAATCAATAGACTTTTTAGTTACAAGATCACTTTTTGATCATCAGATGGTCCTACCAAAATTGAGAACCATTAAATACTGCCTGTGTGCATTATATGTTGCATTTCTACATACTGAAAGATGTCTTCTGTTTGGTGTTCCAAATCAGGTTACCTTAGAATTCTGTAAAATCCAGATCTTTTTTTTTCCAGGGCTTCTGAAAGCCGAATCAGCAACCTGTGACGAGATGATCTGCAGGTGCCGACTGCAATGAAGGGTCTGGGGGATGCCCGTGGCCGGCACCTGTCCGGAAACCTGGACTCACATCCAGAGTCTTTATATAATGCATCAGAGCGGACCCCTTACCTGATCAGCTCCACTGAGGCCTATCCTCCGGAACCTCGATACCCTGATAATTCTTTACACCCCGACTGCCTGTACCCTCTCAACAACCAGCTCTCAAACAGTAGCACCTTTCCCCGAATCCACTTTAATTCCCATTATGAACCTCCTGAGGAGACTCCACAATATCCTACCCCCCATGCACCACCTGCCAAAATCAACCGCCTTCCTGCAAGCCTTTTGGACCAATTTGAGAAACAGCTACCAATTCACAGAGACGGTTTTAGCACTCTACAGTTCAAACGGGGCGACCCAGAGGGAAAGGACCGCAGTGAAAGCCCTGGACGCATCCGGCACCTCGTCCACTCGGTTCAAAAACTCTTTGCAAAATCCCAGTCCCTTGAGGGCGGCGGAAGGGCCAGTGTAAATGGAAAGAAAGGGTCATCAGAAGATACTAAAGGAACAAAACGGAGTAAAAGCAAAGAACGAGGCAAGGGGGATGGCAAGGGTCAGGCTCGAGGAGGAGGGGTCTCTGGCTGGTGGAGTTCAGATGATAACTTAGACAGTGATACAGGAAGCTACCGTAATCCGGCCGGCATGATGACTCTTGGAAGGCGCCCAGATCATGGAGCAAGACACTTTTTGAGCGGGTATAACACTATCAGTGAAAGCATGTTGAAGGCGTCCAAAAGCAATAATGACCTCAAATTCACACCCTTCCAGCCTCCATCTCTCACCCTATCCCCTCTGCCTGCACCCCATGAGGGGGTCCCTTCTATTTCGACGGCCTCACTAAAGAGAGGGTCTTGGTCAACGTTGACACTGAGCCACGCCAGAGAGGTGTGTCAGAAGGCATCGTCCACCATAGACAAAGCATTACTGAAGTCCAAATCTTGTCACCAGGACCTCAGCTACCAGTATCTGCAGGTTGGTATTATACACATACCACACACACGTGCTGTATATGGGGGAACCCCTGATGAAGGAGAGCCTGTAATTTCTACTACCGCACTAGTGTTTAGAAGAAGTAGTCCATTTTTTTCTGGCCTCCCTCTTGAAGCACTTGCTCTGTGCACATATACCATGCTGACCATTGGCATACCAGAACACACGTCTGATGAACTTGGCTGGTATTTGTGGGAGAGGCAATTGGGGGGTGGGGGGCTGCAGTAACTGAAAGATCTGGGAGACATCTCTTGCACTTTGCCTCTGTACAAGAGTTTGTTGCAATTAAACTGGTCACCGCTGCTCTCTTTTCTTGTGCAGGGTGACTGGTCTTATATCCAACCCCTGTAGTGTTCTGTAGCCTGTAGTTCATAAGGGCTGCTGGGTTCCAACCACAGCCCTGCTCTCTGCACAGTCTATATGCAACCCAGTAAAGATGTTACCACTACTTATACAATGCAATATCAGGGTTTGCAAAGGCATTCGGTGCAAAGTAAAATTAATTTAAATAATCTGTAGCTATGGAAATGAAAGATGTTGTGCCTGGAGTAAAGAAAATGGGCAGCTGCCATTGTTGACTTTTTCTAAAGCACTGTGGTTGTAATGCTTGTCTTTCCTTCCTGACACATCGAACCGTTGACCTAGAACAAATATGGAGGTCGAGAGTTTAGACTTAAAAGGCCACATACTTTTTCTGAACCAGTGGCTCACTAAGTAGCGAAACAAATATGGGATGACAGCTGCAGAGTTTGCACCTTTAATGACAAATCAACACTGGTAGCCAAATCTCTGTGATGACAGGTCCCTTTAATAGTAGAGACAGATAGTGGTGTTTCATACATTCATATCTTCCAATTTTTAAATCAAGTGTAGAACTACAATTAGTGATGAACTTAGAGCATACAGTATATAAATGTGCATCATATGCTTGTTGATATTGTTTCAATTATTTTAATTATTAAGTGAGGGATTTGAACAAAAACCCCAAAACAACATATATAGTACACTATATGTCCAAAAGTCTGTGCACACTTGGCCATCACTTCTATATGAGCTTTATGAGAATCCCCTTCCAAAACCATGAACATTAATATTAAGTTCCACAAATAAATGTTTAAGAGACAAGGGGATTTCAAGGCTTATTCAGACAATTACACACAAGTGAATTTTCAAATAAGCTCAGTGGCCTCAGGGCTATCCCTACACTATTTGCCGCCTGAGGCCACGATGGGGAGGGTGTTGGGGTAGGGTGCTGCCAGTGTATTGTCGTTCTGGGTGGAGGGGGCCAGGGATGCTATGGCCAACTGGTCGTTCCAGTGGGGGGAGCTGTGATGTCAGCGGCTCTGTCCGGCATCCCACCCAGCTCAATGACATCACTGATTGCCAGGAGCTCAACCAGTGACGTCAGTGAGCTGGGTGGGAAGCCAGACAAAGTGTCACAGTTTGCTGAGAGCTCTTTGCAACCTGGGATACTGTGGCCACACCCCTTCTTCCCCCCCAAACATCTGCTGACCCCCAATGAGATGCTGCCTGAGGCAACCGTCCCAGGTTGCCTAATTGTAGGGACGGCCCTGATGGCACTGGCAAGGCAGCTCTCAAGGAAACGGGCCTCCCTCAATGGGTACCCGTAAGCAACTCAAAGTATAGATATGCCAACCTAAAGGTGAAAGACTCCAAACTCCAAATTGTGTGTAATTCATTCGCAAAAAAAACAGCCAAATTGTTTCAGGGCCAACAACAATCCCCCATCATCAGGTCTTAAAGAATGGAATGAGGTCTTAAATGGACTCAAAGGAAATTATACCTAAAGGGACCTGTATTGGGTCGGACATTAACTTTCCTTTTTACTACAGTTATGCACTGTGGTTAGCGGCAGTTAGGTTTAATATTAAGTTGACCTCCCTTGTGGCTATAACAGCCTCTACAATTCTGGGAAAGCTTTCCACAAATATTTGGGGTGTGTCTATGGGAATTTGTGTCCATTTAGCAAAATGAGCATTTGTGAGGTCATGTACTGATGTTGGATTACAAGAACTAGTTTGCAGTTAGCGTTCCAGTTAATCCCAAAAGTGTTCAGTAGGGTTAGGGTCAGGGCTCTGTGCAGGCCACTTGAGTTCCATCACACCAAACTCATCAAACCATCTTTTTATGGGCCTGGCTTTGTGCACCTGATCTCCAGAATGTCTAGTGATGTCCACACATTTTGGCTATAGCATATATATTTTTATATGGTAATTAAGACTCATGTTTTACCTATTCACAGTATTGAACAGGATTGAACCCCCTTTCAAAAAATGAACCCATACTTCCACTAGTGCCACCCACTGCTCAAATTTCGGCCAAGTCAGCAGGATTCGAAATTTGAGCAGTGGATGGCCAGCTTTCATTATGCTATTATAAGAGAACTATGGCCAAACCTTTTTTGGCCTTACTTCTATTTTGGATCACAGGACGACAATTAGTAATGTCCTGTGACCCAAAACTCATCATATAGTGGGCTATTGCCTTCTACAGAGTATGCTGACGCCCGCCCCCTCTCTAGAGTTGTGCCCGCCCCCTCCCCTGTCTGTCCCTCCAGTCAGCGCTGGCGGAACAGAGAGGGGAGAATCCCTGCAGGGAGGGATGACTGACATCCATCGCTCTCTGCAGGGAGAAGCTGTGAGTTGAGCGAGCAGCAGTTTGTGATCGCTCAGTTCTCAATCTATAGGTCCAACTGTCACACGCTGGCTTAAGGCCTGGTTCACACCTAGCCGACAGCGTTTTTGATGCATATTTTTCAGCATTTTAATGCGCGTTTTATGTGCATACGGCAAAAAGTGTGTTTTTATGAGCAGAGTGTAGCTCATCAATGTTAATTTTAAAAAAAAAGCGTATAAAATGTGCATAAAAGCTTGCAAAAACACAGCAAACGGACGTTTCCTATTCAGTCTATAGGGCCAAAACGGGCTGCCAAAAAAAAGCTCCTGTACTTTTTCCAGCAACTGGCGCTTTGCCTTTTGTGACGAAACACTCAGATGTGAACAGGGCCGTAGAAATTAATGGGATTTTTTTGGGGGGCAGATCTTTGGAGCGTTTTTTAGGGCAGAAAAAGCGCTACAAAATGCTCAACGTAAACCAGGACTAACTATGGGGATGAGTGCATGTCACTCTGCCCATAGTTCTCCTTTAAATATAAATGCTCAACTGCCTTGTGTGGAAAAAGCAATGGTTGGACAAGTTGGCATTAAAGTGTAGTTTTCCCCAAAATACAGAGAACTCGCCAGCTTTTGGAAAGCAGCTGTAGTACAAATCTTCAAGCTTACATGAGGTGAACTTGAGATGACAATTCAAGGGTTGGCGTATATTCAGATTCAGGAAAAAATCAATACGCTTTATGCACAGTTAAGTTCTGTATACACAACCTTAATTGGCATGAGTTCTTTACACACTGTACCTACATTTCTGGATGGCTGCCACCCAGATCTTAAAGGAGCAGTATCATGAAAAAATATTGCATACTGATAGCTGTATGTGTATTATACCATATGAACAAAAGTTCACTCCTAGCAGTGTTATAGTTTGTCCTTACCCCCGTCACTGTCACTTTTGCAGGACAACTTGAGCAGTGTGTAAATGTAGAAAAAAATATTAGGGCTTCAGGAACAAAGAAACAAAATCTATATCTCAAATACAATCAATGTATTAACTAATATAGTTATCCAATTTGTATTATTATTATTTTTATTATTAACCAGTTATTTATTATATGCCAGTTATTTTTGGTAAGGGTCCTTAAAAATATACCTGTCACATGAAAAAACTGACCAGAGAATCAAAAAGTAGTTAAGATTTTATTTAATTTTTTTACTTCGTAGCAAATCCTTGATTCCATTCAGTATGGCAGTTGAACTCTAAAGAGTGAGAATATTATAACTACTTGAAGGCATGTGTTGCATTAAAGATCTGGATACAGTCCGTGTACCCATCGCACTCAGAACCGCTGCTCCATGAGATAAAAAGTGGGTGCAGCAGGTGTCAACGGGTGGCTTCCGTCAAAGTAAAAGATGGACACCGGCAATCCAAAGCAAATCCGGTACGTCTATTTATTCACGTACTTGTGGCAAATGCAAAACACAGGATACAACGTTTCGGGGTCTCACAGGATCCCCTTCATCAGGCAAGAACTTGCTTGCTTGATGAGGATCCCCTTCATCAGGCAAGCACTTGCTTGCCTGATGAAGGGGATCCTGTGAGCCCCCGAAACGTTGTATCTTGTGTTTTGCATTTGCCACAAGTACGTGAATAAATAGACGTACTGGATCTGCATTGAAGATCTGGGTGCCTCTTTAAATGGTGAGTAGGTGATAGGCATAAAGAAGTTTTGATATGGTATAGGTGCAGCTTATTACGGACATAAAAACTTATCAAGTTAACCAAAAAAAAGCAAAGTGCTAAGACAGGTATAAAAAGCAACCAATCAGAATTAATTTTTCAGTAATCTGATTTAAGTATACTGCACTTTCCATATTAGATCTGCTTCTTGCATTTCTTTGTTGAAAAAGAACAACGGGGATCAGTTCTGCAGAGAGTAAAATTATTTGCTGCGGACCATTTAAACTCCAGCTATCTTACATTTAATGTACAATAGCAAATAAAGCTATGCCGTGATTGGTTGCTTGCAGCAGTACCCCCCACTTGTCCATTTCATACATTTTTATAACTCAGTTCCAGTTTTAGCTTATTGTTGAGTTGTCCAATCTATGTGTATTTTTACCATCTATGTGTTTTACAGGTACCAGGCGGGGAGTGGACTGGAGGCCCAATAAAGGATGATGACATCCCATGCCGGCGAATGCGCAGCGGAAGCTACATCAAGGCTATGGGGGACGTGGACAGCGAGGACTCAGAAGGGAGCCCACAACCATCCCCAAAAACTGCAGCTAGGAGGCAGAGCTACCTCAAGGCCACACAGCAGTCACTGAGTGAGAGCACCACGCAGAGGTAACCAAACCACCATGACTAAGTATTTTCATCCCTAAGGCAGTGTTTCTCCACCTTTTTTAGTCACGGCACCCTTCAAAAGTGTGCAAAATCTTAAGACACCCCAGTCTAAAACATAGATTTTAAGGGCGACCAAATGCAAAAACACACCAAAAAGTGTTGTATCGGTAGCCCCCCTTCACATCAGGAGCCCCACTTTCACATCAGAGTTTCCCCTTTCACATCAATAATCCCCTTTACATCAGGAACCCCCTTCACATCAGTCTTCATCGCCTCTTCAAATCACAGTCCCACTACCACAAAATTTTGAGAGACCCCTGAGGAGGCCAGGAGGCACACCAGCTTTAGATGCAGGTTTGCTTGAATAATCAGCACCACCAAGTGGTCAATATGCAGAAATACACCTGTCTTTTAAGGAGCTCTCCAAACAGGGATACCTACAGAAGTAATGTAATGTAATATTTATTTATTTGTTTTATTATTACAGGTATGTATATAGTGCCACCAGTTTAAGCAAAACTTACATAGTGTGTGTCCACATCAGTCCCCGCCCTCAAGGAGCATACTAAGGACCCTATCTCACATGCATACATACACACATACAATGGTCAATTTAGAATGGAGCCAATTACCCTACCAGCATGTCTTTATAGGCATAAGTATGCAAAGTGAGCAGCTATTTTTTTTCTGTCAACCTTTAGTCTTGGCCTGTGCCACCTGTCAAAAAACATAATTGTCCCTATATTTTGATACATACTGTATGTGCCCCTGTTGAACAATACATATGTATTATAAGAAGCTACCGTGATCATCAAAGGTTACTGAGAGCCAACGCTGCAGATGATCGGTAATAGCTGATTTTAACCCTTGCAGTGGGGCTACCCCCTCACTGCAAGGGTTAAATGCTTGTGTTCTTTGCCCATCATTTTGCCCATCATTTTAATGCAGACCTCCTCAGATGCATATACCTACATTCCTTTTGCCACATCACTGCTCCATTCAGCTTCAGAGAGTGAAATTACATCCCTGTGTAAGACACGAGTCTTCGGATACAATCCCTAGATCTTATAATCCATATGGGGATCAATGTAATGAGCTCCAGCTCTGTACCCACATTACCTATCTATACTATAACAATAGACCTCTGAAGTGCAACTGAAGCAAAAAAGATTTGTTTTGTTTTGGACAGAGTGGAGAAGGATTAGAACTCCTGCCAGGTTTTTATTGCTATCTGTGTCCCCTGTAAAGGTGCCCATACTCTTTACAACCCTTGCAAGACTTTTATCTTGCGAGGGTTGTAAAATAATTTAAAAAACGTACGATCTGCCCATCCTTGACAGGCAGATCGTACTTGCAATCATCGCAAGCCCGCCCCCCTGAGGGGGCACACCGGCCCGTTTGGCAGTCATCTCTTGATCATGTTAAAAACCAGCCGAAAATTTTCCAACATGCTCGAAATACAAAAGTCGTGCGACCGTACAGTAGAAACGGTCGCACGCCTTCCATACACTGCACGATTATCGTACGATTGCGGGATTTCCGGCGATTCTCGTACGAAAATCGTGCAGTGTATGGGCTCATTTAGGGAGATTCACCTTCTCTATTTGTCCTGGTGATCGTTACCACTGAAAGTGAAAGAAAATCCCAAATTTTCAGTTGTCATCAGAACAGGAATAGATAGCAAAATCTTCCAATGGGGACACTAGTTCTACACTGCTCACCCCCATAGATTTCCCTCTCTTTGGAGGCATTTCCTCTCACTTCCTGTTGTGGCTTTCAGACAGAAAGGGAAGGAAAATCTCTCTAATGAGACACAGATGGCAAAAAAAGCTGATGGAGTTGTAACCCTTCCTAAAGGTGGCCATACACTGTACAACCATCGCAAGACCTTAGTCTTGCGATGGTTGTAAAGTACTTAAAAAACGTACGATCTGCCCATCTTGGAAAGGCAGATCGTACTCTCGATCATCGCAAGCCCGCCCCCCTGACGGGCGGACTTACGATGACTGTAATGAGGGGCGGGCTTACGATCACTGCAAATGGGCAGTGTTCGCGTGCGCACACCGGCCCGTTCGGCAGTTGTCGAACCAGCAGGCCACTAACTCGCCGAGAATCGTACGATTCCCGGCGGGTTTTCTAGCATGCTGGTTCGACGGAAGACGTGCGACCGTACAGTAGAAACGGTTGCACGCCTTCCATACACTGCACGATTCTCGTACGATCGCGGGATTTCCCGCGATTCTCGTATGAGAATCGTGCAGTGTATGGGCACCTTTACTCTATCCAAACCATATTAAAAAAAGTTTAACTTCTACTTTGCAGGTGTTCTAGCGTGTCAACACTAAGAGAGTCAACAAGTGTTGGCAATTTGTGGTCATGGATCCAAGGTGTGACTTCAAATATATCACTCACAACACAATACATTACGCATTGAGTTATTGAAAGATCCCCAAGTCAGTTTCTACTTTCTACCATCCTATTTCAGGTCCTGATGGAATTGGATTTGATTTTATGAGGGGCAGTATGTTTTTGTCTTTAGGATGAAATATTGGGCAATCAACACTGAGATGATCAGTAAGGGAAATCTGTAGATAAAAGGACATTGCAGTACAAGGGGCCAACATACTTGAAACCCATCCATGGACCTGGACCCTCCGGTTATACATTTTGTGTCTATGGTTTCCTATGAATATGCATATTACAGCTTTGCAAGTCTGGCTTTTACAACTAACTCATATAACATTGCTATTTACTATATATACTATTGTATACTGGCTTATTTACCTTTCTTAACACCATTTTTGGGATCTTTCCCCAGGAGTCTGGACCGTGTGGACTCCTTGGACATCCTATCTCCCCCAAAGTTCTCAAGTTGGGAAGAAGATTACAATCAGCTGACGGAGAGTGTAACAGAAGAGAGCAGCATTTGCCAGGTGGGAGGAGTGAGATATTAATATGTTTATACAACAGTATATATACTTTTATACCGTTGTTGCCTTATTAAAGTGTGTCTAAAGCCCAAATGATATTGTCTTTAGTTTCCTTTTGCCTGTGTCCTATCATGGAGATTTCCCTTCACTTGCAGTCCTTGAGAAACAACAGGTAGAGAGAGCAAATCTATCTAAAGTGAGGGGAAATCCCCTCACTGTCATCGGACAGGTGTCCACATTTAAATATTTCTCCTCATTTTCTCCTTTTTCGGTGACAATCCTAAAATTTGGATTTCCAAACACTTGCTATTCCACTGACAATGGTGACCAGGGCAAGTAGAGAAGGTGACTCTCCCCGGGGGGCTCACAGACAGCTATAAGAACCTGTAGCCAAATCCATCCAGCAAAATATACCAAAACTCCACTCCAGTGGAGATGCTTGGCTAACAGCTCACAAATTCCCAAATGACACACCTCAACATTTTTGGAGGTTACATAAAAAATGTGAACAAAAACAAAGAAAAGAGGCACGTTCCACCTCCACTAACGTTCCAGGGGCCTTGATAGACCCTTGAGAATGCGTTTAATCAAGGCCCTAAAATGTCGGTGGAGGTGGAACATGCCTTTTTTTCTTTGTTTTTGTTCACATTTTCTGAGTGCTGGCTATTTCTATTTTTTTAGCAATTAGAACCTGACGGGTTCTAAAACATCTCCACTCTATTCATAACTGGAATAAAAAAGATTTTGCTTTAGAAACTATTTTAGTTAAAGCTTTGTCCAGCCACTACTGAACACATCTTAGACTCTCTCCAGAGTGGTGGCAATGGACTGTTATTTTGACATCTCTCAGTGCAATCTTTATATTCATCGCCTTGATGTCCACCAGTGTCTATGTGCATGAAATTATCTGTGTGCACTGGGAAAGATGTAGGATGCCAAAGACGTGAGAGGGCAGTTGTTCTGTGGACCTGTTATGGCAGTTGAGACTGGATGTTTATACAATGAACAGACACCGCTGTTCATCAAGCAATAGTGACCATTAGGGAGAACCTACTGTATGTGTTGACCAATTGATTGTTCTCCTGAGATCAGCGGGTCAGAAGTGTCCACAGAGGTCACAGATTGCATATACACATACAACTGTTTCCTGATAAAAATATAATCAGATGAATGGCACAGCAGTTATAATTTAGCAAGGCTCCCTGTACTACAGCCCAACTTCAATGTTTTCATTTGTAGTCTATGTCCCCATTGGAAAGATTACAATGGGAAGTCTCTTCAGTGGGTTCCTAGACTGCAGCCAGGGCCGTCCTTATAATGAAGCAGCCTGAGGGTCATGTAAGGGGGTGCAGGCAGAAGGCATGGTGGTGTACTTGCCTCCCCCTTTCCAGCCAGAGTTTCCCAGGTTTCTAAGAGCCAGGCAACATAGGTCACTCTTGCCGCTGTCCCGCTCACTGGTTGCCAGGAGCTGAGTGGGACGCTCTGGCTGGCACACACCATCCTGTAACATACACCATTGGCACACGCCCCTCCACACACACCACCTCTGTAAAATAAGGAAGAGTTGTAATTACTGTCGGTGTCTTCCTGTCCCCGTGTCGATTGTTCCTTTCATTTCTTCTCCTGCTGTCACAGGGACAGAAAGTGAGGTGAAATCTCTTATTGTCACAGACATCAATAAAATCTGGCAGAAGACTATCTATTCTGACTCCGATTGTTGTGATAGCGAAATATATCCCTTGCTGAGACCTCTATGCCTGGCCTGTATAAGCAGATATACTCACTGCGGACAATCCTCGTCAGATAGCTGAACTCGTCAATACCGATTCATTCAAAAGAGGTGTTTATTCTTTAACATCAGGGTTACAGCAGATGATAGGAACAGCAGATGAACGGTTATAGTATTGTGCGGTCAGAAAATGATGCCTTCCCTACGTACTGTGCAGATTACATGTGTGTCCTTGTTACATGTGACTTTTAACTGTGGCCATGACACAGGAAGTACTGCACACAGGAAGAAGGAAGGGGCGTACACCAGGGGAAAATACATCGTCACATGAGGAATAATTACAGAAAGCATGTTTGTTACAACAAAAGGCCACTAGATGGCAGCATAGGATAACACATGAATTTAGCTATGAGAAAATAGTTAGGCAAATCACACTATATAAATTCTAACCTATATAACAATGCTAATATTAACTGAGGCTATGCATCTCATATTCTATGCCCCTATTGGGGCGGCACACTCCCCGTCTGGCATGATAATGCCACTATCTACATCATAACGGTAGTTATGCAAATAAACAATAACAACTATTAAAGTCCATGAACCTGTAGCTTGCATCTGTCCTCTGGACCTGAAAATAAGAGAGAACACACATGCACAAGTCCATATGTCAGATGAAATCTGGAACAGTCCTTTCAAATGCAGTAGGTCACCTTCCATGGGAGGCAACTTGTAGAGTTCCTTAGTGATGAACAAGATAGTCTCCTTAGCAGGCTGAAGGCACTTCAAATAAGTCCATCCCTGGATGTGCATGGTGCACGTAAGTACCCGGAGAACATGGGCTCATGTAATTCCAGCTGCAAAGTCTCTACGTGAAACAGACACAGTTCCAATCTTGGCGAGAAGAGTAGCTGAGGTAAAGATGGCTGTAAGCTCTGAATCTGCAGTCACATCACTGCTGATGAATGGATTCAGCTTGGCAGTTGGATTGTTTCTAGCAATGCCTTGCTTGTCAAGAATACATCTCATTGCTATGCTAGAGATGCTTTGTTCTGCCATTTGTAGTGGAATCAACTCACTTTGAGCAATGTCCTTTGCAGAAAGATGGTTTTGGCATATGTGCCAGTCCTGACAGTAAGCATATGTGGACTTAGCAGTGTGCGATAGCAGTGTGTAGCATGGACTAACCTTGTTGTAGTGCGGTCAGGCCTTGTCCACTTGGAGAAACGTCCATAGTGTTGACAGCCCAAGACGTGTCCTTGTTCAGTTCTGGTTACTGACGACATCAGTTGTTGCTTCTTCAATCCAAAAGAACAATACAGCGTTGTTACTGCTGACTTTTGTTACAAGCTGTTTGTTCCCTATTTGTCATGTTTATTCTATGGCTTCATTACTTAGTGAGACACTGTCCCAGAACAAGCTGTAGCCATTTATATTCGGAGTCCTGAGCTGCATGTTTGTCTGTGTCATCAATTCATCACTAAGTACTGATGCCAGAGAATCGGTATGACAACGTGGAAACCAGCAACTCAGGTTTTCTTTAAAGTAAATATGTGCCCAGACTATGCACATATGTACAAGTATTTACATAGTATGAACAGGCATTAAGGCCAGTTTCATATCTCTGTGGTATAGTAATGAACATTATGTGCGTTGGTGTAAATGGCAACACAACACACTAAGGCAACGCACCTGTGATGCAGCATACCGCATACAGGTAGTGCCTTGGCATGCACTGTGCCCCTGAAAGAGGGTCAAGATATTTGGGGATGAATTACTGCACAGAATATGCAACTAGAGAGGTCAGGGATGGCTTGTTTTAAAGCTCATTTACAGATGGTTAAGAATATGTATGATTTAAGGTTCATAGGCAGGGCACAAATGCACTTTAAAATAAGGTGTTTTGCTAAGTTCTGTGAAGCCTGAGGCCTGGCAGTAATTCTTTTCCACTTGCTTTTGGCCTTGCCCATTCTTGATTGCAGCTGTTCTATTATGTACTCTGAGAAATTATTACACCTGAGAAATATCTGGGTGTTGCCCAGTGATTTAAATATTTAAATGCAAACAGAGGGGGGCTTTTGAGCCAACACATCAGAGCTTTTTACATAAAACAGATTTATCAAGTTTGTTAAGTCCTTCTTAGAAACTTTAGACACAGGGACCTGGACATCGGTTGCCCATGACCCCCCCCCCCCCCCCCCCCCCCCACCCCCCCCCCGCCCCCCCCCCCCCCCCCACGTCCAGGTCCCTGTGTCTCCCTCTTTTTCCACTTGGTGTACAACAAGCTGGTTGACTTTTGCTGCTTCTGTCCACCTGAAGAAGCCACACCTGGCGAAACGGCAAGTAGAGCACTCTGAATCTTGCTGCCCCTAGAGGGTGCCACCTGAGACAAAATTTTCATTTTGTTTCATCCTAGGCACTGCCTGTTTGAGAACCAAAATCTTACACAACTTAAACAAATAACAAATACCAACAAATATCTTCAAGAGCATTATTACTGCAGGTGCAAAGGCACACAGATGGGTATATTGATCTGAGATTTATTTTATATAATTTTATAAATGCCCTCATTCATATCCATAATCTGTGGACCTAAAAGGGCCCAATCAGTCATCTTGCCAATTTCGAGTGTTGCTGTATGTCCATTGCAGGGATACTACCAGCCAAGTTCTTCACAGATAAACTACAGATTTTGGTGTGTGTTGTTACTTTGCAATTGTGTCAAACCCATTCCATAGTAAGATTGAAACTGGTCACACACAACGAACTGATTGTACAATCTCCTTTAGATGTACAGTACCAACTATGTAGTGTGAGGGCCTGCCTGACGTCTATAGTGATTTATTTATTTATTTTCCAAACGTTTTTTGAACAAATAAACAAGTAATGAACAATGCAATAAGGCACGTACAGTTTAAATGTTTAGGATGCAAACAACCTCAGAAAGAAAAACAATTATTCATAATAACCGTAAGCCATCATCAAGCAAGTGCTTAAAGAAGCAATGGAGGCCATGTAGAATAAAATAGAGGTAGAGCAATCATAGTTAACCAGAATACAACTTAAAGAACTTGTCAACCTTTTCCCAAATAACGGAAGAGTGAAACCTAAGAGGGAAGGGGGAAGAAAATTGTCTTTTTTTTTTAAAGTGACTCTATCTCTAAAAAAATTATTAAAAAGAAAGTGCCCCCTGACAAGAAAATAGTCTATGCTTGCCTCTCCTGCCGCCCGCACCTCCAATCTGCACTATATTAATGAAATGCAGTTGTTTGAAGACTCTTCAGCAGCAGGAAAAGTCCAGATATGAATCTGCACTCCTGATGTTCCAGACCTTCACATATGTGGGCGCTCAAAACGATATCAGTGGATGGCGCCGTGCTAAGACCAGATGGGAGAATAAGAGATCACCAGAACTCCAAATAAATGCGTATCACAGATTTTTTTGTGAAGAGAGCCTTACACATGTTTGATATTTTGGGGCCCTGCAGGGACCCTTCCTCAAGGTAACGTAGTGAACACTCTGTTGCTGGGGTCCTGCAAGGCCCCGAAACATCAGTCATCACAATAAATCTCTGATATGCATTTTTTTTGTTTTGAGTACTGGTGATTTTGTCTTCTCTCTTCAGCAGCTGACACCTCTGGTTCACTTACAGTTTGTATACCACTTCAGGCCCTTCAGTCCCTCAATCCAGTCACAGGTACAAGAATCGGTACCCATTGTGTCAGGTTCCTGAAGAGCAAAGGGATCGGTACCCATTGTGTCAGGTTCCTGAAGAGCCAATAGAAAGATACACATTGTCACAAGTCCCAGAGGAGCCCTGTGAGAGATTCCAGCTTTGCCCAGTGGTAGAGGATGAGAGAGAACGATATCCATTGTGCCAGGTGCCCGAGGAGCCAAGGGAACGGTACTCTTTGTGCCAGTTAACCGAGGAGGAACCAGAAGATTACCCCCTGTCTCAGGTCCCTGAGGAGCAGAGTGTGCGGTATCCATTGCCCCGAGAAGCCAAGAGAGATCGCTACCCTCTGGTTCAGGCTGTATTTGGAGAGCTTGGATCATCCCAAACTGAGCCTTTTGACCTTCATCTTCCCAATTTCTTCCGCTCACGCAGTCACAGCTACCTCCGTGCCATACAGGCTGGCTGCTCCGAGGATGACGACACCATATCCCTGCAGTCCATGTCACCCCCCTTACCAATCACCAGCCGGACCCTCCCCAGGCACATCGGTAAGTTAAACCCTGAAGTGGTGTTTTAAAATAGCTTACTTGAGTTGGGCACAACATCTGCAAAAATTGGCATAATTCCCACCTAAACCATGGTTGGGCACATTTCAAAATGGCAGCATAGCTGAACGACTGTTTTGTGCAGAACACGAATACTATATATTATAGGCAGGGCCAGCACTGTGCTGGAACTCCTGTGACAGCTGAGAGGGAAAGGCTGTGAGTGCAGCTCTCCCTTCTCAGTGTTTACACAGAGCAGAGAACGGACGCACTCCACTCTGCTCCCCACTCTGCTCTCCAGAGAGAGGCAGCCAGCGAGGTAGGAGGTACACAGCAAGGGGGGTGGCGAGGGGTGGGCGGACCTGCAGGCTGCATACAAGTGATCTCGGCGACATCGCAGAGATCACTTGTAAACGACCGAGTGGCTTACCCGCTCTACATTTAGCCCTGCTTGCCCAAAGCAGGGCTAAATGTAACAAATAACTACCCGCCCGGCTTCCGGAACTGCATGTCCTGGGCTTTGGGAGACTCCACACCCCTGCCGCCCCTCTGCTCCCTGCCGGGGCCTCAGTGGCCTTGAGGGAAATCCGGCCCTGATCATATGTGACTTGGGTTATCAGCAACTAGCGTGCTGTGATTCTTCCATTTAAGGCATTTTTGCTTGCCATGTGCCTCCTTAACCTGTATGAATTTTGACTGATAATTTAGGTGAAACTGATCTCCAAAAGTAAAGCTTCATCGGGTTATAGGGACAGTGTATAAATGTTAATTGTGCCTAAGCCATAACCTAAAAAAACTACTTTTGGATTGAATTCCTGCTGAAAAGTAGAAGCCCATATCCTGGTATGAGAGGGTGCCTAGGCATTCTTGAGCCTACAGGTTCATAGCTGTATATCAGATCTCAGGTACTGTTGCCTCTGGCTGCTAGTCTCAGGAGAGATTTGGTGATGTCGCTACTGTGCCGCTCACTGTTGTTCTTGCTGGAGGCTCTGATATGGGGAAGCAAATCCCTACCTGTACTAAGATGGCTGCCTCCACAGACGTATACAGTGCAGAAGCCCACAGAGCCCGCATATCAGACACACACCCTGGAAAAAGGAGAAGATTTAAAAATCAAGCCCTTCTATGCTTTTTTTACACCTAGAACAGCCTTTCTCAACCAGGGTGCAGAGAAATATTTGCACAGCATCAAGCCTTTCCATGGTGGAGGCAGCCTTTTGATGTGGAGGGAGATCCTCATGGGGGAACTCTGATAAAAGAGATGAACTGTGATTTGAAAGTGGGCCTGTGAAGTAAAGGGTGGAGTCTGAAGCAAAATGGGGGCTCCTAATGTGAAGAGGGAGCTTCTGATGTGAAGAGGGCTCCTGATGTGAATAGGGGGCTTCTAATGTGAAGGGGAGCTGGTGATATGAAGGGATACTCTAATGTAAAAGAAGGGGGTTTGGATGTGAAACGGGGCTCCTAGTGTAGGTGGGGGGGCCTCTGACATCAAATCTTGTACAGTTGTGTCTGATGTGAAAGGGAGATTCTGAAGTGAAAAGGGCTCCTGGTGTTAATTGGGGGGCTTCTAATGTAAAGGGGAGCTTGTGATGTGAAGGGAGACTCCGATGTAAAACAAGGGGGTTCCGATGTGAAGTGGGGCTCCTAGTGGGGGGCTGGGGGACTCTGATGTGAAATTATGTAAAGTGGGGTCTGATGTGAAAGGAAGATTCTGATGTGAAGGGGGCTCCTGATTTGAAGGGGGTACTCGAATGTGAAGGTGGAACAACATTTTTTGTCTTTGGCCATGGGGTTCCCTCTTACAATCCATAACAGACCCCTATCAAGGATAAGGGTCTGTTATGGATTTTCAGTTTTTACATTTTAGGCTGGGGTGTCTGTATTGTAGATTTTGCATTGGTGTAAAGGGTGCAGTGGCTGAAAAAAGGTTAAAAAACGCTGACCTAGAAGACAGAAATAAAATTACTATATATTGGCAGCCAGCACAGTAAACATGTGAAAAATCAGCACTATACTTATACCTCACCCTTAATTACAACAACACACTTACAATTAAAAGTATTAAAATAACCCTGTCACAAATCTGAGGGACTGAAACGAAGCATATGATAAAGGAATACATTATCAGAGGTTGCTTCCAGTGAAATCCACAGAGTAAAACCATCAGCAGATCCTCATATATAGACAGCGGAAATAATATTCCAAGCTCAACTTTTTCTATATAAAATCGAGATTGTTTGCCTTTTGCCTCCCAAGTTTACCAATTGGTCAGGGAGACAACCCATCAAATTAAAGGCTCATGAGGTGGAAGGGGGCAGCTTGACTTTCACAGACAAAGCTGAGAGTTACATATAATATCAGCAGCTTTGATATTGGAATGTACGAATTGCTTTGACATTATGTTTTTACTGAAGTCACCTCCTATTTGAGCATTTCTTCCATGATGTACTCAGTTTGAATTGCCCATGTTTGTGACAGGTTTACTTTAATCCTCCAGAGCCCAGCTACTGTATGTGACTACCGTAAAAGCATAATGTAACAGCGTGTACAATATTATATAATGAAATAAATACAAGCATATCTACATCTAGACACTGCAATATATGGTAAAAAGATCCAATGCGCATGCCTAACTGAACAACTTTACTCTATGTGCCACTTCCATTAGGTTTCCCTTGTGGGTTCTGTCTTCCAGATGCACCACTGGAGGCAACTGACAAAAAGACCTCCTAGTCTTACAGACTTCCATTTGGTTCCCCCTTACCTGGGTGTCAACGGGCATGGCACAGGGTGTAGGGTCCTTCCTGTGGTGTCATGGTGCCCGGCGGTAGGGTTGCCAATGCACGTGGCGTGCACGCAACCTATTGATCAGTTCAGGTGGCGGTCATTTGCCTCATTGACACACCTGCCTCTCCTTGCCATCCCATTGGCTCCCGGGGGTTGGAATCTTCCTTGTTGCTCTGACAACAGGGGGGCGTTCCTGGACCTTGCTGGGTTTAAATTCTATTAAGAGCCCTGACTGTTGCTGTATCCAGTGCAACCTGAAGCATTATTTCCTTTCTCCAGTTCCTGCTTCCTTTCCCAACTTTCCAACTCCCTGGTTATTGACCCCCGGCTTGACTTCTTGTGCTTCATACTTGCTGCCTACCTCGACCCGGACCATATTCTGACAATGCCTTTGGACTTTCCTTATTGTAGCTTCACCACAGGACTTGTACCCAGTACTGTTCTCTGTCATTGGGTTCCCCTCCAGCATACAGGGTAAACTCCGCCCTTGACACCCAGCCTTATATAGTGGTGTTCTGGGTCTATTTATAAACAATTTGCAGGGCCCTTCACCCTGCAAATATCGGTCAACGCTCATTGAATAATGCCAAAAATGAATGTTCTTGTTATAGTTTGTTCCCAGTTCGAATGTAGTGTATTGTAAAATTACATTATGGCCACTAGATGGAGCTGAGTAGCATAGAAAATAAATACAGTACTTATTTTTTTATGCTTCTCAGCTCCATCTAGTGGCTATAATGTATTATTACAGCACACTACTGGGGAAAAACATTAAGAACATTTGTTTTTGGCATTATTCTCCAGAAACGAATGTTCACAGACATTTACACTCTCCTTATGCTGTCAGAATAGTGTCACTGTTCTAAGACCTGGGACACTTGAGACATGGGCCAAGTGCCCAACTGCCCTTGGCTGTGCCACTATTGCCACCAAGAAAAGAACACTGAGAAAGCATGAGTATACCAGTTGGCTAACATTACATGTTTCTAACTAATCTGTAAGGGGCTGTTCATAAACAATTCACAGGGCCCTTCACCCTGCAAATATGTGAATAATGGCAAAAACGAACATTTGTAATATATATTTTCTTCTACAGTTGAATGTATTGTGATGTAATACTGCATTATGGCCATTAAATGGAGCTGAGGAGCATAGGAAATATGTATTTACTTACTGTGCTTTTCAGCTCCATCTAGTGGTCATAACACAGTATTACATCACAATACATTTGACCTAAAATAAAGAAATATTTAGAACCTTAGTTCATGGCATTATTTGCACAAATCAAACATTCACATATATTTGCAAGCAAAGGGCCCCACAAATTATTCATACATAGATCCTTAGGTATGCAGATAAACCTTATAAGATGTAAGATGCTCCCGGCTGCCACCAAAGGGCGAAAGGAACAGGAGACTGGCTCTTTATATAAGAGTACAAGTGCCCTCTTGTGGTGGATGGGAGCATTTTGCTCAGCACCCAGAGGGAGGTAAACAAAGCACCATCAGGGTGCAGGCAATGCTGCAAGGATCTTGGCTGATCATTACTATAGGTAACCTGTCTTATCAGGCTTCTCTATAGAGGCGCAACTTAAAATAAAAAAAATGATATTCAGAATCTCTATTAAGTCCAATGTATTGTGATGTAATACTGCATTATCACCACTAGGTGGTGTTGAGGAGCCTAGGAAAAAAGTATTTATTTCCTAGGCTCCTCAGCGCCATCTAGTGGCCATTATGCAGTATCACATTACAATACATTGGACTTAAAAAAAAACCAATATTGTGATTTAGGAATGTCCCAATTACACTTTTTTAAGGCCAAGTACAAGTACTTTCCCTCAGGTACTTGCTGATACCAATTACCGATACTTTTTCTTAAAGGGACATATGACATTTTTTCTAAAACCATACAGACTAATGATTTTAGGGCAGTTTCTAACAAGGGCTAAATACAGACGTCACCAGGGCTAAATACAGATGTCACCAGAGCAGAATACATGTCCCAAAAGCAGAATACATATCCCCAAAGCAGAATACATATCCCCACAGCAGAATACATGTACAAAAGCAGAATACATGTACCAAAGCAGAATACATCTCACCAGAGCATAATACATGTCCCCAAAGCAGAATACATGTCACAAGAGCAGAATACATTTCACCAGAGCAGAATACATCTCACCAGAGCAGAATACATCTCACCAGAGCAGAATA